TATTTTTATTTTATTTTATTATTTTTGTATGCGTGTACCGTCAAATCAGATCTGACTGGTACAGGAGGAGATTGCCCCTCCTTCCCCGGCAGAGCATCAAATTTTTTTTTTTAATTTTATTATTTTTGTGTGAGTGTACCATCAAATCAGATCTGACTGGTACAGGAGGAGATTGCCCCTCCTTCCCCGCAGAGCATCTGGTGGATTCGAACCGTTCACCTCTGGGATTGTAGTTGCAGCTTCTTGCCACTAGGCCACCAGAGCTCCCCTGAAAGGAATTCTTATGGCAATGTGACATCCACACAATATACAAAGAGTTATGCTTTACATGTCTTTTTCTTTTCCAGTAATCAGGGGATTGATTTTTACCCATGATTTACATTTGTTTTTCAAAACTGCTGGGTTTTTGTAGACTATAAAAGGAAAAAGCTGTTTTCTTTACCCCTGACAGTTTGATAAGTAAGCCCTTTTCTCAGAGATCCATCTCAGTTAATGAATGGTCACCATAGTATGAAGGGTGGAAGGTCAGGACAGGAGAGGAAGACCCTGGGTACGATGGATTGACACAGTGCTGTGGTAGTGGGCTCAGGTATGTTGGAGACAGGTTGGCTCAGAATAGGGCAGGACTCAGAGCCATTGTTCACAGGGTAACTGTGAGTTGTTAATATATCCTTTATAAACATCAGTTTAAAATCTAGTATAAATGAGCCCTGGTGACCTAGTTAAAGAGTTTTGCTGCCAACCCTGAGATAACCCCAGAAAACCCACTGGAGGGGCAGCTTTGACTTGGTTCGTGCTAGACAGCACTGAATTTTTTAATAGTGTGAACAAAGTTTATGCCCAGATTTCCATGCCACCCAAGATTTTACACTGATTGGTATTATTCTTGTAAATAACCCCTAATATTGATAAATTTTGCTCCTTAAGTCAAAGTATGCTTATGAGGAAGTTGTTCTTGTAGCTCACCAAAATATATTGTGTCCCCATTACTCATGGAAAACTGATTCCAGGGGAGAAATGGCGAATAATGAAATCAAGAATGTGGAAGAGTCTTGTCTTATTATAGGACTCTTGGGAGTCTCAGGTGCTAATGAGATATGAATATTCTAAATTAGACAGGACACTAACTTGAATTAGTAACTATAAGAGATGCCTAAGGAAGAGACTTTGAAGTTTAAATGCAAAGATCCTTGCATGTGGTTGCCTTCCTGTATTGATTAAATGCCCCCGCTAACAAGATACTGTATTACCATCTTCAAGATGTTATTTGCTGATTATTATGACCTGTAGTAACTCATGCTAGCTAATGAGTCACTGGTAGACCAAACCATGAGAGAGGTTCAGCCTAAGGGTTAGCAGTGCAGCCCCCATGGATTACACCACCAGCGTTCCTCACCCCAATAGAGTGTATTAGCATAGAAATTTGTTGACACTCTGATACTATAGAATGTTGGATCACTTCAGAGAGCAGGCTAGTTTACTTTTGTCAATAATTATTTTGCCCCATTAAACAACTTCATCATTATATATCAAACAGATTTTTCTTACACAGACACACTTCACAGATAGATCAGATTTAGTTGTAGTAAAGAAAATACTGTAATAAGGCGAGCTGTGCACATTTTTTTGCTTCCTCGGTGCACAGAAACATTATGTTAGAACTATATCATAGTCTGTTCTTGGTGCTGGGAATGGGGCTTGTGTGTGTGTCCTGCCACCCCATTGTTTTGTTCCCATGCATGTAAATTATGTCTACACTTACGTTAGTCTGTTAGAAGGCATCTTGTTGGTGCAGTAGATTAAGCATTGGAAGAACTCACTCTGGCAAGAAGCTGCACTGCAATACCAGAGGTACACGGTTGAAATCCACCAGGTGCTCTACTGGAGAAGGAGGGACAATCTCCTCCTGTACCAGTCAGATCTCATTTGATGGTACACACAAAAAATAATAACATAATTAAAAAAACAACAACTCATTCATCCCTTCTCAAGCTGAAGAACCGAAAAACAAATTCAAGCCTCGAGTTGCAATACTGAAGTATTGGGCAGAATCTTGAATGATATAGGAAGTGTCAAAAGAAAATGGAAGGATTATAGAAAAGCTGCACAGAAAAGGATTGGCTGATAACAGTGCTATTTCAGGAAGTAGCTATGATTAAGAAGCCGGGTTGATGAAGAAAGAAGTTTAAACTGTACTGAAGACATTGGCAAAACATAAAAGCCTAGGAACTGAGGGGATACCAGTTGGCATGTTTCAACAGATGCAGCTCTGGATTTGCTCACTGGTTTGTGTTCAGAAATTTGGAAGACAACTAGCGGACCAACTGACTGGAAGGGATTGTCAACAAATAACTGGGGGAAATGGAGAGGCATTGAAAGAAAGGAAGACCCGCAACAAGATGCATTAACTAAGTGATGTATTATCACTGGGCCCAAGTGTATCAGAGATTATATTTATTCCCATTCCCAAAAAAGGTGATCAAACAGCATGTGCAAATTACTGAGCAATATCATACGCAAGTAAAACCTCGCTGAAGATGATTTTCCAAAAATGGCTAGAATTGTACATCAACGAAACTGCCAGAGAGTCAAGCTAGATTCAGAAGAGGTCGGAGGAGGAGGAATAGCATTACTGATGTCAGATGGATCTTGGTTTAAAGCAGTGAATACCAGAAAGATGTTGATTTGCATTTTACTCACTATGCAAAGGCATTTGACTCTGCAGAAGAGATTGAGATTATTAGCAAGTTCAGCTTGCTCGGCTCCCCAGTCAACACTCTTGGCACTAGCAACCAAAAAATAAAAAAAATAATTTCTCTGGGGAAAGCTGCTGTCAGGGACCTCTCAAAAAGCAGTGATGTCAGTCTAGAGATTAAGGTATGCCTGATTAAGGCAGTGGTTTTTACATTTACTTGCTGTGCATCAGAGAGCTGAACAGTAACCAAAGATGACAGAAGAAGAAGAATTGATGCCTTTGAGGTTTGGTGCTGGAGAAGAGTATTGAACATACATATTGACTGCCAAGAGAACGAACAGATTTATACTGAAGAGGGTGAAACTAGGCTGCTCCTTGTAGCAAGGATTTTGAAACCCCATCTCACATATTTTGGGCATGTAGTAAAGAGGGACCAGTCCATGGAGAAGGATATCATGCTTGGAAGGGTGGAGGGACAGTGCAGGAGAAAAAGAACCCGTGAGAGGAAATGACACAGTCACTGATATAACGGGAGTAGGTGTATCAGAGACAGTGAGATTGGCTTAAGATCGAGTTCAGAGCATCGTATGTAGGATCACTGTTAGTTGCAGGCAAGTCAGTGGTCCATAACAACAACAGATATATGGGTCATAGCTCAGTGGCATCTAACAACAACAAGAACATGTATTCATGGTTTTAGATTTATGGATTTATTTAGAGAATAACCGTAGGTTTATGAGAAAGTTGCTCTCCATCGTTGTCTTTATGGTATTTTTTTGCTAGATGCTATTCAGTTTACTCTGACACCTAGCAACCCTTTGGTAAAACCAGCCCCAAATGCCAAAACCCAAACCCACTGCCACTGAGTCCGAGCTGACCTGTTCTGAACGTCTAGGGCAGAGCAGAACAGCCCCAGGGGTACCATGGTGGTCATCCCTATGGAAGCAGGTTACCTCCTGGTTCTCCTGGGAAACTGCTGGGATGTATAGACCACTGACCTTTCGGTGAGCAGCTAAAGACTTAACCCCTGCACCACCAGATACCTTCAACATTAAACATACTAGAAAAAAAATGTATGGTATGAATTTCTTATGAATTAATTGGTCTACTATAAGTGGAGTTAATAACAGAAAACTAGATTACTATAAAGTTTAAGTTTACCAAGTTTTAGGATACTTGAGTAATTGGTTTCTTCTAATATACTTGATGTTTTCAGATTCATAACTTTTTCTACAGGTTTTAAATTTGACTTACTTGATCTGGAAAGAAAAATTTGTAGATACTTTCTTTGTGGTTTTTAAAGTATGTATTATGAATTTTGAAAGTTAACTCTATAAACTAGTAATCAAACTACTTTTTTTTCAGAGGTTTCACATTTGTGCTGTAAAAAAAAAATCCACAAAAAATTTCCCTAATTATATGTTTATCTTTTAAATGTGGGGTTATCGTTTTGACCTTTTGCAGTATTTTTTTCTGCATGGTTTTCCTTGCTTCAGAAAGGCCCACATCTGAAATAGCTCTTGTTGAATGTGTTTATTTTATTTTCTCTTTTACAATTATTAACTACTCAGAATGATGCTTAACAAAAATGTGTGTTTAGGTCTGCATGAATTCGATGCTTTGAAAGATCCTGAAGTGAACGAATTCAGAAGAAAAATGCGCAAATTCAGCGAGGAGAAGATTGAGTCGCTTATAGGCTTGTCGTGGATGGACTGGCTGAAGCACACGTACCCCCCAGAGCATGAACCGTCCCTGCTGGAGAATCTGGAGGATAAACTGTACGGAGGAAAGCTCATTGTGGCTGTTCATTTTGAAAACTGCCAGGTAATATTGTAGTGTTCTAAGAAATACTTGGTAGTTAAACCAAGATTTACACATGAATGCTGTTCCAGTCTTGGAAAAGATTTCCCTAGTAACTACTTTACAAAGAATGTTTTTGTTTACTGATAACAGTAAATCCAGGTTTATGTATGACAGTCTTCAGTGTCACTAGCGTACATCCTTTGCATGCGTGTTATTTTTTCATGCAGTGTCGCGGTGTGCTGAATCAGTCAGCAAGCGTGCATGTTTTACTAGTCTTTACTTTTAAAGGGCTATGTTTATGTATAATTTTTACATATTTTTAAATTTATACATGATATTTCATGTTTAACGATTTAAAAAAAAATTCTACGAAGAATATGGAGCAACTCATAGGTTGTTAGCCAAGCCTGTGTACTCTCTGGTTCTATATAGAATAAGTATGTTCTCTCTTGTCCTATAAAGAAAAATCTCTCTAACTCCTGGTCCAGATGATATTTTTTATTCTAAAAGTATTTTTTTTCCTCATCTCATTTTCATTTCTCTATAAAATGAAACTTGAGTTTTATGGCTTCTTTTTTCCACATTCTCTTACTTGTATTTTGAAAATATATGCACTAAATACTGGTATAGAGTTGGCCAATATAATAGAGTATATATACTATTAATCATTATCTGAATGTTTACAGTTATACCTAGTAGGCTATGCTGCTGTCTTTGTATCAGGCATATTTAATCATCATGCAGAGTCTAGATAGAAATTAGGATGTTGTCATTTGTTAATGTGCTGTCGAGCCGCCTGTGACTCATAGAGACCCTATGTGCAACAGCCCTAAACCCTGCTCTATCATGTGCCAACCCATTGTCTCTGACACACCCACCCCCATTACCCCAGTGATTGAATCAGTCCATCTCATTGAGGGTCTTCCCCTCCTGCGCTGTTCCTCCACCCTCCCAAGCATGATGTCCCTCACCAAAGACTGGTCCCGCCTTGCATCATGTCCAAATTATGTCAGATGGAACTTCAGAATCCTTGCCTCCAAGGGGCAGCCTGGCTTCACCCTCTCCAGGTCAAACTTGTTCTCTTAGTAGTCCATAATATATTCAACAACCTTCTCTAACACCACAGCCCAAAGGCATCAATTCTCCTTCTGTCATCCCCAGTCATTGTCCATCTCTCTGACGCATAGCAAGTGGTTACTAAGAACATGGCCTGTATCAAGCACACCTTAATCTCCAGACTAATATCGTTGTTCTTCAGTACTTTGGAGAGGTCTCTGACAGCAGACTTTCCCAGTGCAATTAATCTTTTAATTTCCTGGCTGCTGGTACCAAGAGTGTTGATGTAGAGTCAAGCAAACTGAAGCTGTTAACAATCTCAATCTCTTCATCACCTATCATGATGCTGCCAATCAGCCCAGTGGTGAGAATCTGTTTTCTTGATAATGAGCTTCAGTCCATATTGAAGGCTGCAGTCCTTGACCTTCTACAGCAAGTGCTTCAGGTCCTCCTCAGTTTAAGCAAGCAGGGTTGTGTCATCTGCATAATGCAGATTATTAATGAGTCTCCTCCAGTCTTGATGCCACACTTCTCCTCATAGAGCCCAGCCTCCTGGATGATCTGTTCTGCATGTACATTGAAGAGATAGGGAGATAGGACACATCCTTAACACACACCCTTCACAATTTTGAACCATGCAGTGTTTCCCTGCTCCATTCTCAAAAATCTTTCATTTTATTCTTATTATGAATTGTTACAACAGCAATAACAACAACTAGCATGAGAGTAGCTTTCATTATCAATCACTTACAGTTCATTGTCAATCACAGTATATGAAGAAGCAAACCAAGTATTGTGCATATGCAGCCTCTCCTCAATTATCAACATGATTAATCTCCAAAACCCAAGTTGTCATACAAAAATAGAACTTATATGAAAGTGGAGTTGATTCCATCAGATCACAACACAATGGAAATGACCATATCATTACTTAACCTGCCAGATTTTATCATTATGTAACAGCCAAACCACTGAGAATACTAATAGCTCAGTCAAGGAGTTACATAACCTCAAATGTCATGGCTAGTGGTTCTCTTGCCTCACACTTTCATTCATTGATGTTAGAGAGAACCCATTAATGCACTGAATGATTAGATGGTAGATTTTTTTTTTCATTATGTGGTCTATTAAAAATGGCAAATAACAAGGAAATCAGCAAGGGAGGAGTAGTGGTATGGCTGTAGTGTTGTTATCTCAGTTTTACAGATTAAGAAACTTAATGAGATAAAGCCTTGGAGGTTTGTGCTAGAACTTAATGCTGGTCAGTATAAGAACCTGGAATTTATCCGATTCTGCCATCTTTCACACAGCATGTAATGTAGTAAATATAAGTATTAGAACACAGGTGAAAAAAGATCCCACCTTCTGGCATTTACAAAGGAAGCTTATCAAGAGGAAAAAAAAACACCTTTTTACCTAATTAATTTATATAAAGTAGTGCTAGTATAAATTAAGAATTCTTGGTTTGCCAATTAATCCAGTGTTAGACTAATGTTCAATTTAAGTCAAGATTTTGGTAGCATAAAATGTCAGGATTAAATTTAAAATTATGTCAAGGGAATTTCTCAAAGAGAGAAATAACTGGGATAATGAAGGGTTGGTGTGTCAGAAACAGTGAGATTGGCTCAAGATAGAGAAGGGTTTAGAGCTGTTGTACATAGGATCCCTAGAGTCTCAGGCAACTTGATAGCATTTAACAGCAACAGCATTCACCATTAAAATAAATGTGAAACATTTTGAACATAAAGAAGGGATGAAAAGTGGAACTGTTAATAGATTCCAAGGGAGTTCTGGTGGCCTAGTGGTAAGGAATTCTGCTGGCAACCAAAAAGTACATGGTTCAAATCCACCAGTGGCTGTGTGGCAGTAAGTTAGACAGTCTCCTGTATCAGGATAGGGTGATAGGGACACCTATGGGTTGGTTCAGACAACAACAACAACTGGATTCCAGTCACTCATGGAAATTAAAGGGGAAAGGAGTTTAGAGAACTAGTCAGACACTTTGTATATCATGAGGATTCTGAGCTGCTGTTCCAGTATGTCTAGTGCTAAGGTGAATGTTCTACATGCTGAAACAGTGCTTTTCAGTTTGAGCAAACACATGTTTAAACCTGTGATTAAAAGTTTAACAAGGCAGCTCTCTCCCAACCAGTCACAGAAGAGGAGACAGGTATACAGACTGGCCATTAACACCTTTTGATATGTGATGGGTGCACTCTTGGGACCTTGCCACTTTTCTGGGCCTTTTCCCTGAGCACAGTATTCCAGGCAGCACTCCTGAGACTTTGCTTACACCTGGAGTGAACTACCCCCTCCTGTCAAGCTACAGGACAGGTCAGAGAAGCAGGCCCACCACAGCTGGGCAGAGGAGAGACTCCAGCTCTCCCCTCAGTCCCCCGAAGGACAGCCATATGAGAAGCTTGCTGCAGGAATCAGGGACAGAACCACCAGTAGATGACCGGAAGGAAGACTGTCACTGGGAAGCTAAATTGGGAGCAACGCTTAAATCCTGCATCTTAACAGTAGAATCAGAAAGATAAGAAACTGTCAACCTGTGCAGACACAACAGAAGCTGCCTCACTAATAACCAAGAAGAACATCCCATAATGTCCAGGAAGCAGCAGGTAAGTTCTCTGAAAAAGCAAAACAAGCCTTCTTTTGAATAAGAAGACCAGATTGCAGACCTAAGGACATGGAGACTGAAAAAAATGCATGGAGTTACATGAATTGCTACTGAAGAAGTAACAACATGGAAAAGAGAATTGACACTATATAAATAAAGAGGTACAAGAATTTCCTTTGCTGGACTATCTTTTCTTTCTTCCACATCCCAGATACTCACCTATCATCTTTCTACCTAGGCTTCTCTTTATGAGGCTAAATATTTCTCTAGAATTTAAACAACAATTTGTAAAACTTATTCCTAGAATTTAAACAAAAGTTTATGGATTTAGGAATTGTAAAATTGTTAATAGAAAATTTTGAGAATCACGTAGTTTATAGCTTTTTATGTAGGCAAGTTAAGGTATATTTTTTTAAACCAAAATAACAATTTATTAGTAGCACTGTTTTAAAACTAGAACATTTTACTAATATACGAAAGAGAAATAACAGAATTTCCAAATAAAGTAGAGGTGACAGCTTGTTCTGGGCCCAGCCCTGGTTCGGTAAATTCCCTCCTCTTTGTAAGCGATGTCGTTAGTTACTGGGCAGTCCTTGTCTGTCAGTGGAGGCTTGCCTGTTGACATGATGCTGAACAGATTTCAGTGGGGCATGTAGACTAAGACGGATTAGGAAGAAAGGACTAGTAATCTTCTGAAAGTCGGCCAGTGAGAACTCTGACTCGTGGGGAGCAATCAACAGCTGATCACAGGCAGCATTGTCATCTTTTGTGCCTCCTTCCCTCTCATGTGCATCAAATTCTCATTTTAACTTGTCATCATCAGCTACTGAAATTGGCCATAGTCCATGGTAAGCAGCATGACAAAGCACTAAACTCAAAACACGAGATGAAACAGAGCAAGGTGCTTAATCCCCTGACCCGGGCTCGTTGTTGTCCAGTCAGTTCTGTTTCTACAGGACAGTGTTGAATTGCTGCCCAGGATTCCCAAGGCTGTGAATCTTCTGAAATCACACTGCTGCGTCTTTCTCGATTGGAGTCGCTGGTGGTTTGAACTGTCTGACTTTTTTTTTATTCAGCAGCCAAGTATTTAATCACTGCAACCCTGGACTTCTTAGCAAAGGGCCCATGTGGGAAGATGGGACGATTGTTTTCCATTCTGTCTGGGATTAATAAAGGGGGAAGTGAGAAAACAATTTCTGTGGAAAAAAATCCGAAGTTTTATGATGTCACATAGTCATATCAGCTAACTATAAGAACCACAATAGTGATAATCTTAGACTTAACATGGCTCAGTTTTTCTACTACCCAGGCTTATGATCTGCTGGTAAGATCACAGCTGCATTTTCTTTTTCTTTTTTTTTTTTTAGCTCCTAGAATCAGAGGTTGTAAAAGGTATTGATAAACCTGAGCACATTTAAAAACATTCAAACAAAAAGGCCTCCTTTCTACTTCAACAACATAACAACTCAGAAACTCAACTCACTGCCATTAAGTCAGAACCAGTTGATAGCTCACCCTTAATTGGGTTTTCCACTGGAGGTCTTATCTATAGGGATTTGCACTTCTAAGCAAAAGGCCACATGGCTCTGGTGGTTCCAAACCACAGCAGCTCCAAGAGGAAAAGATGGTCATTCTCCTGAGTAATTATCAGCTTCAGAAATGTAATCTTTCTATGAGCCTGTCCTGACTTAATGGCCGTGAGAGAGAGAGAGTCAGCAGCATAAGAGATTTGTATAATGCACAAACAGTTCCAGTAGTCCCCACGGGAGGTAGGTGATGGGAGGAGGTAGGAAATACATTTTTTATGCACTCTGACAAACATATTAGAAGCAAGGCAGACATGAGAAAAAGAATGAAGTACACACAGTGAAGCTATCCAGAGTTATTCTTTTACTGTATTGGCATTTTCTGAAGGACCAGAGTTTTCATGGCGGAGTTACTATCTATGGATGCTAAACAAAAGTGTCTGTCTACTTCTGTTGAAGCATTGTCTTTGCTGGGCAGTTTCTAGTCTATAACTCTTGACATATTGAACCGTTCGGTACAGATAGTCATACAAAATTAGAAATCTTGTAAAAAACTCAATATTTCATTGTTGTTGATGTTGTTATGTGCTTTTGAGTTAACTGCAGCTTGTAGTGACCCTATGTACAACAGCCCTAAACCCTGCTCTACCTGTGCCAATCTTATTGTCTCTGACACACCTACTCCAATTACCGCAGTCACTGAATCAATCCATCTCGAGGGTCTTCCACTCTTGTGCTATCCCTTTACCCTCCCAAGCATGACGTCCCTCTCCAAGGACTGATCCATCCTTGCAGCATGTCCAGTATGTCAGACAAAGCCTCAAAATCTTTACGTCCAAGGAGCAGCTTGATCTCACCCTCTCCAGGACAAACCTGTTTGTTCTCCTTAGCACTCCATGGTATATTCAATACTCTTCCTCCAGCACCACAGTTCAAAGACATCAATTCTTCTGTAGTCCAGCTTTCTGATATATAGCAAGTAATTGCAAAGACTATGCCTGGATCAGACACATCTTAAGTCTCCAGATTGACATTGTTGTTGTTTGGAGAGCCACTTTGGAAAGGTCTCTGACAGCAAACTTTCCCAATACAATTTCCTGGCTGCTGGTACCAAGAATGTTGACTGTGGAGCCAAGCAATCTAAAGCTGTTAATAATCTCAATCTCTTCATCCTCTATCATGATGTTGCCAGTTGGCCCAGTGGTGAGAATCTGTTTTCTTGATGTTGAGCATCACTCCATATATAACACTGTAGTTCTTGACCTTCTGCAGCAAGCACTACAGGTCCTCCTCAGTTTCATCAAGCAGGGTTATATCATCTGAGTAATGCAGACTGTTGATGAGTCACCTCCAATCCTGATGCCACATTTCTCCTCAGAGTCCGGTCACCCGGTTATTCTGTCTGCATATAGATATAAATAAAAAGAATAATATTTAATCAACTCATAGAAATAAATATTAGGGAATTGCTCGAAGTACTAGACAAACCAGTCAATCTGAATTCTGGCAGAATTATTCCAGTTAACAGCTGAAATGTAGAAAATGAATATGGATGATGATGACGACACAGTAGCTTTTTCAGAAGAGTTTGAAGATGGTACAGGGTAAGACAGGATTCAGGTCTGTTGTTCATAGGATCGCTGTGAGCTATATCCAACTTGATAGCACCTAACAATAACTGTAAGGGATAAAAATAGCCACTTGGGGAGAGTTGTAAAGCCTTCAGTACGACTGTTTCATTTTATTGTATAAATATGTTTAAATATATATGCGTGTACGCAAACACACATAGGGAACTTTGGTGGCCTAGTGGTAAGAAGCTGCATTGCAGTCCCATAGGTGCATGATTCAAATCCACCAGCAGCTCCACAGGAGAAAGATGGGCAGTCTCCTCCCACGTGATTAACTGTCCCTGAACACCCACTAGAGAATCAGCTATGGGTTGTTTCCAACTTGACCTTATGCAACAACAACAATATCCATTTACTAATTTTTGCTTACCTCTCCTTCCATTCCCATCCAACAGTGGTTCTTTTGTGTGCAAACCTTTTTCTTTTTCTTTTTATAATAGTATCTTATATAACGGTAAAGATTCCATAATGGTTTCCCATTGTGGACAGTGTTTGGTGGAGCTCCCAGTTGTAAAAATAGGTTTGGAAGCAGGAGTGGCATTCACTTCCTAAACCACATGCTTCTGGAAACTATGAACTTGGAGAAACAATCGCTATGTAAAGGCTTTAGATCTTTTGTTCATAGAGTCTCTATGAGTTGACCTTGACTGGATGGCAAACAACAACAACAATCATATATCATAGTTGTCCTTTTGTGCCTGACTGCCTTGACTCAGCATAGTGTCCTCTAGATGTAGCCCTGTTGTTATGCAGTGTTTATTCAGTTCTTTATTGCTTTTCAGTGTTGTGTGCTACTCCTTTGTAGGAAAGTACCCGAGTTTCTTTATCCATCTGTGTTGACGGACACTTTGCTTGGTCCCTTCTCTTTAGTAAATAATGCTGCAGTGAACATGGGTTGACATATGTCTGCTTTTTTTGTAGCTTTTGTTTCTTTAGGGTATATATGTAGGAGTGGGATTGCTGGGTCAAATAGTATTTCCGTTTTTCCACTTTTTAAGGAAGTGCCAAACTGTTTTCTATCCATAGTGGTTGCACCATTTTACATTTCCCCCAGCAGTTTATGAGAGTTCTAATCTCTTCACACCCTTGCCAGCATTTGATGTTGTTCTCTTTTTGAACTTTTCTGTTATTGAAAAGCTACAGATTTCTTTGGTAACATTTTTAAAAGAAACTATTTTCTGGAAAATGTAGGTGATATAGTACTTAATGGTAAAATATTAGCAACTTTTAGTTCTTTTTGTTTCTGGAAGCTATGGCAATATAGGGAGTTCTGATGTTAAGGAATTGCACTGCCAACCAAAAGGTACAAGGTTCAGATCCACCAACTGCTCTGCAGGAAAAGATCAGCAATCTCCTTCTGTGCAATTGACTGCTTCTGGATACCTGCTGGAGGGTTAGCTATGGGTCAGTTCTGACTCAGTGGTTCTATACTGTAAGACGATTTGCAGATTAATCAGAAATGTTAACTTTTATGGGAACACATTATATTTGGATATAGAAACATTTATTGGAATATAAAATATAATGGATATAAAGATATGAAAACAAGCAGAATAAATAATGTGTACAGTATAAATTGTTGAGTACCGTTGAGTTGGAACTGACCCGTAGCTGACCCTCCAGCAGGTTTTCAGAAGCAGTTAATCTAATGGGAGAAGATGGCTCATCTTTCTCCCACAGAGTAGCTGGTGGATTCGAACTGCTTACCTTTTGGACTGCAGTACAGCCTCTTACCCTTGACCACCAGAGCTCCTTCAAATGTAAATACTTAAAGAAAAAGATGTTTTGCAATAAAATTTAACTGCTGCGTTTTTTTCACATACTCCTCTCTTTAAGGATGTGTTTAGTTTTCAAGTATCTCCCAATATGAGCCCTATAAAAATCAATGAATTGGCAATCCAGAAGCGCCTGACTATTCGCGGGAAAGAAGATGAAGTTAATCCCTATGACTACGTATTGCAGATCAGTGGGAGAGTAGAGTATGTATTTGGTGATCATCCACTAATCCAGTTCCAGGTACGTATATCCACTGCCAGTTTACCAGAAGAGAAAGAGGGCATGGGAGAAGAGAGAGAATGAGAATCTGTGTGCATGTGTGCATTTATCATTTTTTATTTGTGATTGTAAAAATATATGCCCATAGTAGAACATTTGAACCTACAGAAAACTATCCAGAATGTAAAAATATGATAACCCCTCATGGGAGTAACCATTAATGTTTTGACATAGTTTTGTCACTTTTCTTGACACTTGTCTGGGATTTTTTTTGGCATTCACAATCATGTATGTATATTAATGCTTGAATTCTTGGTTTTTATTACAATATTGCAGTTTTTTATTCTAGCCTTATAAATTCTTTGTACCCATAATCTACTCTAACTGCCTACTGTTTCTTCATATAAACATAATGATTTAGCTATGAAACATTGTGAGGAAATTATAAAAGAAAAACTTCCTGATGAAATGATCACTCTTTAAATTGTATAAAAACGTAATTAAAGTTTATCAGGTAAATCAGGTTATACTACCAGTTTTTATTGTGAATTAGAAAACCTTTGCAGTGGCAATATTTATGTATGTGCTCTGTCCATCTTTTTGGCTGAGTTCCCTTTATGGGAAGAATATTGCAATTATTAAGTCTGATCATTGTCATATTCTGAATTGAATATAACATGTTGCATATGAGATATTGTTGAAAGGAACATGTTGGGTTCGCAGTCAGTCAGTTAGGACTATTTGGTAATGTCCTAACCACTAACTTTTTAAATTCACCCACAGAGTGTAATCCTGGCTTACTGGAAATAAAGCAGACATCAGAGTAGGATGGCCAGAGAGATAGTTGGTAATGGTAGACAGGAAGGCTGTGCCGTGACCATATTGGGACCACAGCAGAGTCGGAAAATGTGCCTCGGGTATTTTGTTTCCATATCATAAAGGATCTTATGCAGTGTTGACACACTTGGCCTGCCTCGGGTTCGATGGCCAGAATGTGGCTTTGACACTAGACAGAAGTGGATTTTAATTCTAGACTTACAGATTCTACATGTGTTATTGAATCCTTTGGAACTTCAGATTTATATTAAATGCGTGATAATTTCCATTGGAGGATGGGTAGCAAAGTTAACTCTAACGTCTGAGGAGCCCTGGCTGCATAGTGGGAGGGAGTTGCATGCTGTCCCAAAGGCAGGCAGCTTTAAGATGTCAGCTGGTCTGCCGAAGAAAGATGGGCCAGTCTCCTCATCCTCCTGTTCGCTTAACAGCCTCTGAAAACTAGATGGATGGAGAGCCGCCTGTGCGTTGGTTCTGACTTGATGGCACATACGAGCAGCCCTGTAAGATGTAGCTCAGCTTGGAGGCATCTTGGGCTTCAGTTTATGGTCACAATTTTGTGTGCTGTAAAGAAACCCAGTGGCACAATGGTTAAGTGCTTGGCAGCCACTCAAAATACTAGCAGTTAAATCCACCAGGCACCCCACAGCAGAAATTGTGGGAATCCGTTTTTATCAAGATTACAGCCTCAGAAATCCTGTTCATCAGTTCTGCTCTATCCTATAGATAGGATTGCTGTGGATTCACATTGACTCAGGGGTAGTAAGTTGTCGTTTTAGAGTCTTACATTGTTTTTAAAGTAAGATATTTATTCACCGTGATTTTAATACAGTTTTGTTCAATGTAATTTTGAATCTCTTTCTAAAAGTATGAATTCTCCCTTCTCTGATGCTGCAGTATGTCCAGAACTGTGTCATGAACAGGACCCTGCCCCATTTTACACTCGTGGAATGCTGCAAGATAAAGAAGATGTATGAGCAGGAAATGATTGCCATAGAAGCTGCCATAAATCGAAACTCTTCCAACCTCCCTCTTCCGTTACCACCAAAGAAAACAAGGATCATTTCTGTACGTTTCATAGGTGATCCTGTCACTTAACCCAAAGGCATGTGACTTTTGAATGCCTAAACTTCACACATTTTCTTTTCTCTCTTCTCCTACATATTTGCCATACATTTGTCACCATTTACTTTAAAATTCTCTTTCTAGCTACTCTCTTATTTCCATAGGTTCTGTAGAAATGTATGTATAGAATATGTTTCTGTTCTTTCAGAGACAAAAATGCCCCAAATTAGAGTTTTTGAGATTAAATTTTAAGTATAAGATTTCTGTGAGCAGTTTGAGATGTACTGGTAGAAAAGTCAGATGTACAAAATAGTTGATTTACTATTATTTCATATCTGTCTGGTTTAATCATAGTAATGTTTTTATTGTAATTTGCCTCTTTCATATTATTGAGTCCTTAAAGGTTAGAATTTCCAAAATGTAATCCCAGTTTTTTTCTAGAATGTAAGTTGTTGTTGTTGTTAAGTGCCATCGAGTTGCAGGCGACTCATAGCGACCCTATGAAGGAGAGTCCTCAACGCTTGGGTGCGTTTTATCCTCTCTCCAGGTTCATAGGGTTTCCAGAGACAAGCTGTTATGGAAGTGGATGCCACTCCTCCTTCCAAAGAATGTAATATATTGGAGGAAAACACGTTCTTTGTTTGTATTCTTTGGAACAGTTATATAATTCTCTCATCTTAACCAAGTCTATGTTTTACCATTCCTTGACAGCTCAGATACTATTCCTGTAGTCATTTAAACTCTTAGTGTGTCCGTTTCTGCACTTTATTGTGATACCTTTTAGCACGACTGGACCGCTGTTTGTATCCCATGAAAACGAAGTGCCAGTGGGGAGGAAACTGAATTCAATATATGTGATTTTCCGTTGTTGCTTCACAACATTTTTGTTGTTGTTGCTGCTGTTGAAAGACATGAAACCTGATAATTGTGATGCTAGTAGATTCATTTCTATCAGTAATACGCTCTGTGTTCTTTTACAGCATGTTTGGGAAAATAACCACCCTTTCCAAATTGTCTTGGTTAAGGGAAGTAAGCTTAACACAGAAGAAACTGTAAAAGTGAGTATTTGCACTTTTTTTTATTTTAATGAAAGTTTGCAGAGACTTTGGATTTCCATTCATTCATTGTTACTTTTCTCTCTGTCCACACCTCCCCTCCAATTCGCTTTTGTTT